TGGGTCTGGGTCGTCCAGTGAAATTAAAGATCCATGGGATCAGTGGGACACTAAGGAGACTTTGCCACACGCCAGGAGAGGGGACTGGGAGCTTTAGTCCCATTTATCCCTCCTGGCCATCTGCACTGCCCGAATTCCACGTGCAGGGAAATATCTGTAAGCCCTCAGCGCAAGAAGGGCCGAGGAAAAGCGGAGGCATTTGGTGACGTTGCCTTTGGAAGGACTTTAATAAGCAAAATCCCCAACTTTTCACTTTAGGAGACACCTCTAAACAAACGAGCTGTGTCCTTTTGAAGTTTGGTACTTACAAATAAATCAGCTGCATCCTCGAAAGGATCGAGGGGTGTGAAATTTAATGGCACGTTTTAGACTCTCAACACACACAATTTTTATTTATAAATAAAAAAAAAAACAAGGCAGGGATTTCCTCCCTCTCCTCTTTCCTCACACCGATTTATCATCCAATCTGCTCTCCCTGTGCCTCAATATTCTATTTTTGAGGGGATAATTTTGCCCTAAGTGGCACTAACATTAATATTAACATCAACAACCTACTCCCCAGGATATTAATACATTAACACTGGGATATTCCTGCAGGCTTCCCAGGGCTCCTAAATGAGTTCTTGTTCCTGCTTCTCTGGAAATCGCCGGGAATTCTGCCACTGACATCAGCAAGAATGGGATTGGTCAGGGGAAGTAAATGCTGCAAGTTATAATCCCACACTGTATTTTCAACAAGTGCCCTTACAGAGCTCCAGCCAGTGCAAGCTGAGAGCAGAGTGATGGTGATTGGAGAAAATCTTTCAGAGTGGGCACACAAAAAAGGCCTTTTTATTAAACAATTTGACAATTAACTAGTCCACACATCTAATTTCCAGTTAAAGTGCAATTTGTTTAAAATATATATATATATAAACTAACTAAATAATAATAATAATAATAAAGGCCATTTCAAAATATTTATGCAGGAAATATTTGGAGACCCATTACAGCCGCCTTTATCTTCTGGCTGATCTCGAATTTAACTCCAACAGAGAGGAATCAGAGTTTCCTAAAAATCAGAGCTTCGCTGCCTGGTGTGGTGAACCCGGTGGTGCATTTTAAAAAAACAACACTGTGAGGATGGTTTTTGGGCAGGAACCTCGCTCAGCTCTGCCTGCAGACGATCAGGAAGAGGGTTTCTGAAAATCCACATCTTCATTTTTTTGGGGGGTCCCGCCTCTTGATTTGTGGCCTCGGGGTTTTGATTTGCCCTCCCGTGTAACGGCAAATATTGTAAATAGTGATGATTAGGACCCCCCCACCCCCTCCTCCATCTAATTCCAGTTGGCCTCAGACCAGAGATGAACTGACTTGTTCTGCTCGAGGCAGCCAATTCCTTGCCTCTTTTTTTTTCCATGGATAACAAATTAGGTTTCGAATTCCCCAAATATTTTTTTTCCCCTTCAGAGTCCAAAGACACAAAACGGAGAGGAAAATCCTCTCAGAAAACAAACGGCGAAAGACATATTTTTATTTTATTTCCAAGGCCTGGAGTTTATTCCACCCATTTTCTGGGCCCATGAGGGAGCCGAGCTTATCTTCGCCTTTGGATAAATCTTGAAACGTTCGACCACAAACATCTGAACTTTTCCAGGGGTTTGTCTTACTCCCATCAAATCAGTTTATGGAAGGCAAACCATGCAATTATTTGCTCTAGAATCCCTCCACTTAGTGCTCTGTGTTTGTTATGGATCATTCCTGGGAAGGGAAAAAAAAAAACAACATAAAAACCCTCTTAGTAGGAAACGGTGATATGTGGTAGTAAGCAGGTATTTACAGATATTAAAAAGCTGCATCAAGGTTTAATAAGCCCAAGGCACGGGATTTTAGAAGGTTTATGAATTGAACCATATAATTTGAAATTTTTTTTTTTATTTTTTAAAGTTTTCAGTGTTTCATTGCAGGCTTTAAAACGGCCTGAGTGGGCTCTGCACAGCAGGAGATTGCGGTGAGTTGCCAAATGATGGATCCATCTTTGGGTTATTTGAC